GCACACGCCACGTTTACCTACGTCCTTGTAGATCGATCCTCAGGAGGGTAGCGGAGGCGCAGTCATGCGTTCATATTCTGCTGCTAAAAAGGGGTCGGCACCTACTGCGGAAGCCAGCACACTGCTATAATGGGTGTGCCAACCCTTATCAAACCTGTAGACGATTGGAAAGGGCCTGAGCTGACCTCTGTATCGTGCCAGCCCGAGAGAGGCCCCAGAAAGCATGTGACGGCTGGAAAGGGCCTGCTCCGACCCTCGTTTTGGGAACTCCAGACTAGACAGACCCTTTTTATTCTGTGGTTGACCCCTCCCCTTTTTATAGACCTCCAGGGAACGGCTATCACACACACATAAATGTACATACACGCATATGGGCCAGTCAGATAGCCAGCACGAATGATCATAGAATACAGTGAGAAGGGGGTGCCATATACAATATATATGTTGAGGTAGACAAACAAATGCTGGTTTCATCCCTAAAAATCTGACGGCCATAATTTGGGGAAACTCTTTCTTAATGGAACTCGGTTGGTGTAGTTTAACATTAACATGAATATGACTGCTACCGTTGAAATAAATGTTTGGGCAATATGTAGCTTTCCTGTATTCATATTAACAGAAACTAATGTTGGGGATGCCATGACTTTTAACTTCGGGGACGTGAATGCTGATGCTCGGGATCCCACAGCTACATCTGGATTGATTAACCTGTTGATGTGGCCAATAGTCGGGGTTCGGCCATTGGTTGGGTTGCTGGTGAAGGAAGTAGCCGGTACAGTGCGAAGGTTACCAATGGGAACAGCTTCTGGGTAATATAAAGTCTGCAAGAACGGTCCATCGTGGAGTCCCAAAATTAGGGTTGCCAAGGAGACTGCAATACCCTTACTACCGAGGGGCCAATCAGGCTGATGTATGTTGTTAGGTTAACCTTCAGCTCGATATGGGAGTGAATATGGGGATGTATGATGGGGTTACTAGTCGACATAGCATCTTAATCCATCCGAACTAAGACGTGACTCTATAAGGCATCTCTGTTGGGTGAACATGAAATAGAAGACTACTGTCCCCGCGGTGGTTTCAGGTTTCGGGCCTCGGGTTGAGGGTTCAGGGTTTAGAAGATGGGTCAAGATCTACCGGGTTCATGGCTCATGACTCAAGGCTTGTACAAGGTAATACAAGAGCCGAGCCGTCGAGGAATTGTGAGAAATCTCGAGCAGAGCTCATGTTTTTCGTAACAAGCGCGAGTGAAACACAGGATTTCGAGCAGCGAAATCGAGCGAAACATGTGCTTCGATAAAAAACTCGAGCTAATTTTCCGAAGACAAGCTCGAGCGAAACGCACGCTTAAGTGAGAAAAAACTCGAGCAAAATGCACGGTCTCAAGAATAGCGAGCGAAAAACGCGCGGCTTTTCTCTTCTTTTACTGTCCAGCCGCCCACCATTGGGGCCAATGTAAGGTTTCATGGCAGGGTTAGTTTTCGGGGTACTGCTTTCTAGGAATAGGTGTCAGTCAAGGCTCACGGTCATTCATACGTATTGCTGGGGCTTTGATCTGAAACTACGGTGAAGGCTAACTTGGGAGCTAACTCCCGGGCCCATATTGAGCTTCGGGTATTTAGACAGAAATGACATTCATCGTTGGAGAAATCATCTCTCAGAGTATCTGCGTGAAAGGTCGCAAGAATTGAAACCGATATACAGATGCAGTCCCTCGGACCTTCAAAGCCTAACACTAAGCCTGGATCATACACCAGAAGCCTAAACCGCGGAGGATTGGTGAGCTATCGCAGCACCTCGTGGTAGTTCTTGGGGGGTTAGCATATACTTACACCCACAACTTATAGGTATATGTACATATTGTTGCTACTGCTGATCAAAAAACAAATATAGGTATACATGTATGTATGCATAAATAAGTGTGTATATATATATATATACACATGTATATATGCATGTGTATATCGGTGCATATCACTTTTAGGGTCCAGGCAACCACAGAGAGGGCTGTTTTGTAGAAATCCCCTGCTAGAGCTGCTAGAGCCTAGGGCGAGGTCCGACATGCCAGAGCCTTGATGTAGATCGCAATGAGGAAGAACATACTATACTAGGGCCACTAGGGTACACTACAGTAGAATATCATGCAATAGAAGAGTATAAACAATGTAATCTAAAACATAACCTGCGGGTTTGTGGTTAAAGCTCACAAGGCAATATTTCCGGTTTGGGATTAACGGCTTGGGGTTTTGGGTGCCATGTTTCAGGAGGAAGCGATTGTACTGAAGAGAGTGGCCGACTACTGGTATGCGGCCTTCTCATGCACGGAATGGCTGAAAAGCCTCAATCGAGTTATGCCTCCAATTCTCAGAAGATACGAGCCCCGCAAGCCTACGCTACTCACGCAAGCAAAACAAACCCCCCGAAAATCTGCGAATCCCGAAATCCAAGACCCCAAACCGGATCAACGTCTTTTTCACCAAATCTTGGCTCCACCTCTTGGGGCACTTTTCCCTTCTGCTCATGGTTGAGGCCCAAACTGGGGGTTTCCGAAAATAGGGGGCCCTAATATAGGACCCTAAATAGTAGGATCCTCATTACAAGGACCCCCAAATAAAGTACCCTAATTTTCGGAAACTCCCAACTGGCCTACACCAAGGAGCTGGTTTTCAAAAGTCGGAGCGCCAGCTCCCTCAGGCCGCCCGCGTCGCAGGCGCGCAAGGCCGCTTTGTAGCTGACCAAATCTGGGGTGACTTTGGCCAAGGGCATTGACTCGAAGAGTTGCAGGGCAAACCTGGGTTGTAGTTGAAGGGCCTACCAACATTTATGTGAATCGGAACATGACCCTTAACACATTTAGTCTTGAGATTGTACTATATGGGAAATCAAAAGTGTGCCAAAGTACAACCTGGTCACTGCCATTGCCTGCCTTCCTCACAGGAACTGATGGTTCCATTGTAGGTCGTGCTGTTCGGGGCGAGCCTCCTTCCCGGCATTGCAGCGAAGAGCGATAATGCCACTTGCCAGTGCCCACCGGCTTCACAGGAGCTAATCGCAGCACTGTAGCTTATTACATTGGCCATGACCTTCGCTTCCGGCATAGAGTACAGAACATGCAACGCCAGTGGCCACTGTTGCCCCCTCGCACATGCACTGATGGTTGCGTTGTACGCAATGGCATCCGGAGCAAGCTTAGCTTGCGGTAACGAATCGAAGAGATGAAGTGCTGCGAGCCATTGGTGGCCCTTCTCGCAAGCACTGATGGCTGCACTGTAGCTCACGACGCTTGGGGTGACCGTAGCCTTCGACATACTACCTAGCAGGCACAAGGCGACTTGCCACTGCCCGCTCTTCTCACAGGCACTGATGCTAGCACTGTATGTAACGATGTTCGGCTGAAGTTTAGCTCGTGGCATGGCGCTCAGCAGCTGCAAGGCATGCTGCCACTGAACACCCTTCTCACAAGCACTGATCAGAGCATTGTAGAGGATGCGGTCTGGTGCAATGGATTGTGGCATTCTGTGAAATAGCTGCAAAGCAGCTTTCCACTGCCCAACTTTTTCGCATGCGCTGATGGTGGCACTGTACGTGATCAGGTTTGGAGCAACCTTTGGTCGAGGCATGGAATGAAAGATGTCCAGCGCCAGTTGCCACTGTCCTGCTTTTTCGCAAGCGCTGATTGTTGCGTTGTAGCTGGCTGTGTTTCGCGCTATCTTCGCCTTGGGCATGGATGTGAAGAGCTCCAGGGCCCACTGCCACTGCCTGCCCTTCTCGCAGGCACTGATCGTCGCGTTGTAGCTGAGGACATGGAGGGTTAGCTGGTGCCTTGAGATGGACTGAAAGACTTCCAGGGCTTTCTGCCACCACTTGGCTTCAGCACATGTTGCAATCGTGGTGACAAAGTGCATGGGGCTCAGCTTCATGTTCTCTTCCTGAACAAGGTCCAAGATGTGACATGCCAGATCGGCACGTTTCTGGAACTTGAGTTCCTGTAGAATCTGGACTAAAGCACCTGGGCTACGGCAATGGGCTTGCAACTGCGGGGCAAGAGCTTGTCGCACCTGGTGCCGTTTTGGGAGCTTCTGAAGTTGCAGCAGGCGCTGCATCCATGCAATGATTCCTCTAGAAGCTCTGTGACTCCTGTCTGCAGTTCGGCCCTGTCTGGGATCTTTTTCCGACCGACTTTTGTTTTCAACACGTATGCAAATTACAACTCGGCACGCATCTCATGCTTGAGCCATAGAGCTGCTGGGCGAGATGCAGGTTCTTGCTGAAGGTGAACTTGCCGCTTCACCAATGCAGGAGAAATAGCAATGTGTTCTGATGAATCTCCCGACAGAGTAAGTCGTGCACCGCAGCACGCAATAAATGAATGAGAGCCGTGCTGTCAACACCAATGATCACACCAACACCATGGAACTGGAACTAAAGAACGGCAGTAGGCAGAATCTTGCACGGAGTAGCAGCAGCAGTCGCAAGGGAAACAGGATTAGGCCAACTGATCATAACCAGAACAGTAATCATGGTGGCAAACATCATACAAAGAATGAGAGTGATAATCAGAATGGTCATAGGCGCCATAGGATGATTACATGTATACAGATCATCGACTCGAGGATCCCCCTTGTTTCTTTCCACACTGCACTACTAAAGCCCAAAGCCCGTAAGCCCTAAATTAAACCCCGCGAACCAGCAAAATCCGAGAAATGCGACGCTCGAGAGCTTTAATTTAGGGGAAAGGCATTTTCTAGGCACTGGTAGCAACCGAAAACCCTGTACACTCCTTGTACATAGACAGAGGGAGGGACACATGCATAGATGCATGCATAGACATGTATACATATATCTCTATATATATATATATATATGTGTGCGTGTGTGTACAGATGCATAGATGCATGCATGCATACATACATACGAACATACATGCATGCACACATACAAAACACTGGTGTCGTCTAAGACTTCACCGACCGGGGAGTAACCCTACATTCTAACCTAGCGTATCAGAGCCCCCACGACAAAGGCACCGGGCCTTGAAAGCATGGCTGAGGCGTGGAGTAGTTCGAAGGCTTGGGATTCGGAGCTTGGGCTCCCTCGAAGCAGTGAAGCCCCGGCGGACCTTTGTTTGTCGGCTTTCGTTGCTATCTGCTTAAAGTCTTATGTGAACTGTTCCTTTGTTTGAGGGGAAGGGGATAGCTTTGGGTTTCGGATGGTGCGTTTTGTTGCGGAGGCTGGGGAGTGGTTTGGGCGGGGTGTTGCTCTGGGAGTTCGATACAAGGGACCATGGCCTGCAAGGCCACAGGATCATACGGAATTTAGGCTTACTAGCTTTGAGTCTTAGGCTCCATCTCTCGAGAGTGTGGTCACAGAGCCCTTAAACTCAAACAACAGTGATCGGGTTGGCACCGGCACTTCTGCTTTCGGGGCCTACAGATTCAGGTGGGCGACTGAAGTGAGGTGTTTGTCAGTGAATTGGGCACCAGGGAAGAGGACCTTAGAGATAACACAAATGTGGAAGTTCTGTGGGGGTTTCTATTGCGAAGCCAACCGCAGATTTCTGGAGAGGAGGAGCAGAATACAAGAGAACTGCAACTGCCAATTTAGTTCTGAAAGTTTGAGTGGTAGTGGCACCCGAAGACTTCCAGCACATACAAAGCTATTCGCAGCGGAGGGCAGGTTTTTATGTGAAACCATTTAGGTCTTTAGTAAGTACTAGTATCCCCGAGTAGGGACCAGACTGAGTGCACCAGACCCGAAACTCCAAACCTGAACCTTGAATCGCTCAACACCAAACCCTGCGCAAGCAGAAATCCACGGCCTTCATCCATCCACCCGAACACCTAAATCCCTACACCGCCAAAATCCCTAAAGCCCTAAAGTCCTAAACTCCTAATGCCCTAAACCCTACACTTCTGAACTCCAAACCTTCAGCTCTCAACAAAAACAAGTCTCTCCGGGAATCGGGCAAGGTTTCGGCTTGCGACGGTCCAGGTACAGCCTATTGTCAGGGTCTGGACTTTGGAGTTTAAGGCTGAAGACCGGGTGTGCAGGGGTGTGTGAGGCCGAAACTGTTCAGTTCTGATTCTGAGCATCATGGGATCATGGGAACATGGTACGGCGCTGAAGCGTACCGAAGCCGCATCTTCACTGCCGCAATTTCCACTATAGTTCACTACAACGAGCCTGAGGAAACTTAAGGCAACTCAACAATCACCGGAACAGGCATGGCTGACCGATACTGGCCCGAACCGAGCTTTGCTTGAAGGTGAAACTTGTCAGGGCAGCATCCCTAGACGGGTGCAGTCGTCGGCAACTTCTTTTTATTTCGATCATTCAGGCTAACATGAATCACGTGAGCTGTGAACTATGACGTTATGAAGGAAGATCCATGCAGTATGTCAGCTTGCTGAGATGACGGCGTGCTGCGCGAGAGCCGCGTCGCGACGCCCTCTTCACCTTGGCACATCACGTCCTCTCTTGATAGAGCCGCTTTGCTAGGGGATGAGACCCAAACTAAAAACGAGACTGTAAACATGTCCATCGTGCGCTGCGTCAGTGTCAGAGTCCGCCAGAAAGTCTTTTGCTGCACAGCAGCTTTGTACAAAAAGCATCCTTCGAAAACTAATGTGAGATGACGCTAGAGATCCACTCTATCACCATATAAACCGCCCAACGTCGCCCTGAGATCTGAGGCGAACTAAGCTTCCCACAGTAGAAGCCGGCAGGGCACCGCTTGTAGGGCACCACCAATCCTGCCATGTCTTGAGCAGAGGATACCATGCTACGGTTGATGATACAAATCCTGCATTAACGGTCATATGAAATATGACATAATTCTCATAGTTTAGGGCCCTTAAGGTAATGCCGGATTTATATCATCAGCAGTAGGATCCTTAGGACTCCGTGTTGACCTACTGGAGATGACGACGTCGCGCACGAGTTTTTTCTCTTCAGCTACGCTTGGGGCTACAAGGGTTGGAGAGTGACTTGGAGGCATACTCGTGACGGCAGTATGCAGACGTAGCTTCAAAATTTTGAGTCTCCTAGCATTGTCAACTATCATTTGTCGTCATAATTGTATAAGCAATGTAAACCATACATGTGGATAGTGTAATGCATTACAACAGTAGCTGGTTATGGCAAGACTACTGACAAAAACACGTGGGTGCCGCGCGCATTTGCCCCCTTATGCCCTTCTTTGCTGAAAGGACACCGAGACAGGGACCCCTTGAATCTGGTGAAAGTCCCACCTGGCTCGTCGCAGACCCATCCTCTTCGACAGCCAATGGGCTGGAACATACGAGACCGCGGGCCTGGGAAATAGAGGGTCAGAGCAGCTAGGGGTTAGAGCTTGGACTTTGTTTAGCTGCTGATTCCTCACAACCCGGAACCGAGGCAACTGCACCAGAAGCCGATAGGGCACAGCTGGCACTGAACCTTCCGGCTCAGCCACGTAGGCTTTATCAGTTGCAGATTGATGGCTTTTGGTTGCAAGCCCGCCTGACGTCTGTAGGGCATGAAGCTGCCTGACAGACAGAAGCAGCAAAGGAGTCGGCTCATGCATCTACAGGCTTGGACAAGGCATTCTCGCAAAGGGCATGAGTTGCGACAGCTCGAGCAGGTTCGTGCATAGTTAGCGCATTAGAAATTTCAAGGCGTTATCTGTCCAGCAGGTATGCCATTCTGGGGATGATTTGTCCTTCCTTTTGTATGCCCTGGTGCGCCTGGTGGACATGGGGTCGGCACACCTCGGTGATGAATCACACCCTTCAATCGCCAGCCGACGTCGACCTTCTTGGAGCACGATCATCTGAGGCGGCTGCTCATCCCGGCACTCTCACAGAAGTGTCCAGCAGGGCAAGGCAACAGCCGGAAGGTGTACCTTCAGCGAGAGTGTCGGAGGGGGCTGTGGGGTTCCAGTGTGCTTGTGTTTGTCACTGGCTCTGCAGCCAAGCATGGAACAACAACATAGACTTGCAGCACTTCTTGCGCACATGGTGTGCAAATGGCTCAGGGCGGCGCTCATTGAAGGCCCTGTGCTGGCAGTAGTGGCCAATGGGGCACTCACCTCAAGATATGTACGCCAACTGGGCCAGACACTTCCTGCAACATTCGTCCCTCCTCCAGAAAACCTATATTAATCCAACCACAATATAAATAAAAGGAGTAATGCACACAAGAAAAATGAAGAGTAAAAACACCGTCTAGTAATATAATCAGAAGACTGCCAGCCGCTGGCTCGAGGGACATTGATGCTTATGCGGTCGCGAACTGAGCTGATTCGTCCTGCTGGCTTGCGTCCGCAGCAAAACCGTGCTACACCAATCTACTGTTTACTACTGCCATGTACACCTCAACCATCGTCTCACAGTTCCTTCAGACATCCCCGAAGCCTAAGGAAGCCTATTGAAAGATCTGGATTTGAAAACGGCTTCTGCTCTGGACGGGCCCCGGCCCAAGAATCGGAAAGACAAGCTGGTGCGCGACCTTCGCTTGTCGAGAGGCTCCAAGGACGTGTCATGACGATCAATGATGGTGCACTGTTGATACTGGAACAGGAGGTAGGCAACTACTAGACATCATACCGCTGAGGCGGTATTGATTTTGTTTATGGTCATGATTTTCTTACTACAACCTAATCCATTTTTCAAACTTTGTGGGAGGATCAACTTTCGAGCTGGTGCAAGCCCTGGGTCCACTTTTTCAGGTCCTGGCTCCTCTCTCCGGGGTGCCCGAAAGTATCTCAAGCTCATGGAGCCAAAATGCCCCCTCGAAAACGCATTCGTGGTCGAACTAGTGTCGGTTGCAACTAGCTGTTGCTCTTGCTCGCGTTACACACTAGTACTAGCCACCCCCGCTACCAACTACACGTCGTCATCAGCATCAACATGATGATGATCATCATCTTCTTCTTCAGCATCATCCAAAACATCATCAACATGATCCCAAAATCATCATGCAACACACTTGCTCTTAATTGTGTTAAGACAACATCCAGTCTACTTGTTATTTACACTACTTTCGTCATGCAGGGTCATCTTATGAAGCCTCAACAACTTTGGACTTGTTTTTTTGAGAGGGGGGTGGTGTGTAAAGGGGAGAAAGGGTCGTGATCTAGTACTGCTGGTACTACAAGTACTACCACTAACTGCTACTGCTACTCCTCCTCCTCCTCCCCCCACCACCACCGCGACTACTACTACT